TTTGGCACCAAGGTCCAATTTTTTCAAAAATATTCTGAATTTAAACAGCTTCAGATGGTTTGAGTCTGACTTTCCAGGATATTGTTTCCAAGGAGAGATGTGAAGAATGAGCCCAAATCATGTTCTGGGCTTTTAGTATAGATGCACATCAACAGAGACTGAACTACTTCTGCTCTTATGGCTTTTGCATAAGGCAAATCATGTCTGTGTGGAAGGAGTAAGTGTGTGACAGAGCAGTGAGAGACAACCGGTATCTTCCATGCTGTGTCTTAAGACCTGTGCTCTTTAGTCCTAATCATTCTGGGAAAGGATGGTTCAAAAACTAAAGATAGTTCTCTTCAAAGGATGTATGTGGCAATTACATGCATGCCTGATTCCTCCATAAGGAAGATTCAACTACTGCTGTTTACAGCTGAATAGACTAAACAGATCATTACAGTGAGAAAAAGAAGAATTCTTTATCACCTTTAATTGCTAAATAATTTTTTATTCATACATCATTCATTTTGTAACACTTTCCTTTTCCAGAACCTTTGCATTTTAAGGCATTTCTGGTTAAAGAAGAGCACAGATGAAGTTTTCTTCTGCTTGTAATATGTACTTTTCTTTCTTTTTTTTGGCTTGTGGGAAGAGGCAGAGGAAAAGAATTTTATTTTTTTTTTCCCCACTGTAGCATTTACACAGTTTTTCTAAATAGAGATCTGGGGAGATTTTTCACCTTCTTTTCCCAGCTTCTTAAGGTTTTCTGTACCTCAAGTAGCCAAAGCAGTTCAAGTTAATACTTAATGCAACACACTTTAAGAGATAGGAATTTCTTGCAGTCAGGTCTCAATTAAGAGATAAAAGACAAAAAGTGCAAAGCACTTGATAAAGCTCAGAATACAAGGACCGGCATGGAAGTGCTTGAAGCTGTCCATAGCGATAACTGGATAGTCAGCTGGAATCTTCTTGAAATGAAGTGGGTGCTCTAACTTATCAAATTCCACATATGGGGAAATTATTGGTGCCCACAGGGGTGATTAACACTTACTCAGTGGGTCAGAAACAAGCTGGGATAAAGGTGAAAACTGTATCTGACTATCAACACCAAATACATCCATTTAGAGAAAGATAGCGGTATTTTTTTTTGCTTCTCTATATATCTTCAGTTGCGCAGGTTGTCAGGGAAGTCACACAGTAGAAGCTGCATATATAGAGTGTTCTGTATAATGTGCAAATTGCAGTGCACATTAAAATGTAATCTATTTTAATAAGTCATATTAAGATTACATTTTAGATAATTGTATGTTTATCTTATACAACAAATATTTGCCCTGCTGTATATATTCTCTGCCTCTGTCACTCTCTAGCTTTTTAAATTACGAGTACCAGCACCAAAAGAGAAAACAACATAACATTTAACTGATACAATGAAACAGTCAGCTGAAGCTCAGGTAATCAAACCTAGGAGGTGATGTTGGACTCAAAATTCACCTCATTGTCACCAAGATCCTGGCTATGTCAAGGAGCTAGGAGTTCTGTTCATCTCTGCGGCAAGTCCATGGGCAATGAACGGGTGGATGTTGGGGCTGGGTTGGACTCACTGAGGTGAGTCAAGAATGTGGGGTCCAAAATCATCCCTGCTGTAGGCAGGTGTAATTAAGAGCACTCCTGGTCATTGAGTGGGCTCCTTGCCCTGGGTTTTAGGGTCTTTGGTGGCCCATCCAGGGGTGTCTCTGGTTGCCCCTATGAAAAGGATGCTCCTGTGTCCCTGTCTCGCAGACAGCACTTGGCTACATACCTCACTTGTGAGCAGCCCCTGGGCACCTTCCTGCTCCTCCTGCAAAATCCATGGAGCTACCATACTGTCTGCCTTCAGATCCCTTCTTAAAAGGTCACCTCTGTCATAGTTCCTACAAAAGAATTGGCAGTGGGAAGGCAGCTACTGTGCCAAGACCACCGCTGACACTGGCCATCATCCTTGCTGGGCTTTTTCCTGCTCGTCTACTCCTGTGCTCCACCACCAGGCATAAGGCTGCCATTTTCTGGGGGCGTTGATGCTCTTTGTTGTATAGTTTATACAGTACCCAGCATAGGAGAGCTCAGCTCTCTCCCAGTTACTACTAAAGTGAAAATGCATAAGGGAGAGATCCTGTAAATAGGATTCAGAGGCCTGGATTAAGATGGTATTTGATACTTAATTGTGAAATTATTTGAGTACACGTTCAGGAATAACATCACCTGTGTGCCCTTTTCAGGCTTTTGTGGTTTACTCATCTCATTCCTAGGTCGGTGTTTGGTTGTTTTTTTTTTTTTTTTTTTTTTTGTGGTTACCATTGCTCACTGTCTTTTTGTTTTCTGAAAGCTGCAAAGCTGTTTGAGGTTTTTATTAGCTGTATCAGCAAGACAGGAGTTGATTAGGAGTTTATACCTGCACTATGCTTCAAAAGTGATCAGGACAATAACTGTACCACAGTCATTGTACTATGTTGTACTACAGTAAAGCCATGATCCATATAGTCTTTCAAAATGGTATTACTCCCACGATTTAAATCATTAATGTATAACAAACTGACAGTGTTTGCTTTTACCTTTTAATCAACAGAAGCTGAGAATTCAAATAAAAAGATTCCTGGGTATCGGTTGCTTGAACGTTCAACTGCTTATTTGTTCTTACTAGACTATCACAAATCCTGGATGCCCACTGCAGCTGTGGCAAGTATCTGTTTTCTGCATGCACTATACAAGTTGTTTATTCAGCCTCAGAGCCCAACACCCTCATTTGCTTGTTTTTTCCATTTCTGATAGATTTTTTTTCCTACTTTCTCAGATACACAGTAATTTCAAACCTAGTGTTTGCTCAGCTGACAGAAATTTAATTGATGACTGAAAATAAGACTAAACATAAGCATTTCTTTTAAAAGAAAGTATTCAGGAACAGTCAGATGAGCAATGGTGTCAGCAATAAAACTTTGAGTGAAATTGGCCTGGCACTAGCTGACCCTGGCTGTAATCTTTGTTCCTGTGTATTGGACTTAATGTCAATAGGCTAGTCACTGTGACATCCTTCAGGCTCGGGAATTGAGGGCACCAAGCATCTTCTTCCCTGGCCACAAACAAACTAACAACTTCAAATGCCTCTTAACCTTCATCTCCATGAGCTTCAAAGGATCAGCATGAGATGCATCTTCATTCCTCATAGCAGCAGAAATCCAAGGACAATATGATCAGTGGGCTCAGGGGCTGTGCCTCCTCTTCTGCAAATGTCTTCTTTTATTCCTTTTCCCTTAAAAAATGAGATAGGAAGCCAGTTAGTATTTAGGTGCAGACCCTTATTTCCTGCAGGTATTTATACCTATGATAAAGTAGATCCAAATTACTGATGAGAAAAATGTCCAGGGAGACTAAGATCTCACCTGGAGTTTTTTTTTTTACATTTGTTTTCTACTTATTGCTTATATTCAATAAGGGAATGGTTTTGTACCCAGTAACCTTTCCTTCTTTTTGTGTTTTTATTTATTTTCCTTTGGTACTCTCTCTTTTTGCTGTGAAAACTGCACATAAATACCAATGTTAAAGCAGTGCCAGGTTTGAATAATTTAGCATTTCTGAGTCAGGATGTGCAGAATGTAAGATGACCACCTAACACTTGTGCACTTTATTTCTTTTCATTAACACTGCATCATTAACTCTGTTCCCCCATTAAAAAGGATGCTGTTATTTGCCAGAGGTAGTGAGAAAGCAAAGGAACAGCTGCAGTTTGGCCGACTGCAGTGGTAACATGGAACAATAAAGGGACTGATACTCACTGCTACCTGGGATGGGGATGAGGCTGTTAGGAAATAGTTACGCTCAGGGTACTTTCTAAGAGTTGCTTAATATTCCATGGAAATGTTTTGTGTTGCATGGGCTGGTGCCTGGGGAAATACCATCCACTTCATTGGAAAAAGAGGAAATATCTCCATCAGCATGTTATACTCTAAGTAAACTCTGAGTAAAGTAAAGGTTAATAAAAGTTGTGTCTTGCTAAAAGGAACTTGAAAGCTTAATTGTGCTCCTTGCATACGTGGCCAGAGGCTGCATAAATCTAGTATTTAAAGTATTAAAGTGACCATGTTTATTGCTCATTGCTACTTTGTTTTGCTCAGGAGATTCAGTTTCCAGCTCCTTAGTGGTACTTCCAGTTATTCTTCGGATGCTCCTCTCAGTCATCTGTGTTTCAGGTATGTCTGCAGCTTCTGACTGGCCTGTTGGAAATGCCCACATCTAGCTCCTGGCCTCAGGGCACAGATATTTCTTGGAAGACCTGATAAACCCGCACATTCCCTGGCCACTTCTCTTGCAAAAAAAACTTCTGCTAACTCACTTGTAACAGCTCTGGAGTTGCAAGTCCAGATACATCTCAGTCCAAGTTCTGATGGTCAAGAGCATGGGCTATGTGGTGGGAATTGACTTCAGAGGCAGTAGTGTGACATTCAAGAGCACACAGGTAGAAACTCAAGCACTGCTGAAGATGACCTTTATTGAACAGAATTGCTATAAGTTTAACTTTTCTCTAAGCCATTTCAGGTTAAAGGGAATAGCATAAATCTCTGAGCCATCAGGACTTTGTTCACTGTTCAGACAGGAGATCTAGAGTTTGAGGGTCAAGCTCTTGTATATGTTCACCTGTCAAACAATGAATAAGTCCTTCAGCTTCTCCCTGCTGTCACTAATTACTACCTTGTAAGGATATGCATTCCTCTAGGCAGTGGACTTTCTGGATCTCCAGGGTCTTCTGATGCCATGCTGAGTCATGCAATGGGAGATCTGAAGCCAGTGTGGACCTCCTTGCTAGACCACTGTGTGCCAGCAACTTCTCTGGGTGGTTGCTTCCTCAGTAAAGCACAGAGAACAGTTCTTTCTTCATCAGTTCTGTGAACTGTTTAGGTGTTTGAATCTGTTTAGGAAAAATGCTGTGCTCTTTTTGACTTGTGTCAGTGAAATGAAGGAAGGGCAAAAGAAGTATCAGGCATCTCCTGGAATGTGGTAGCTTTGCCATTTATTGCCCTGAGAGGGGCTGCCACTTGTGATGCAGATTTGAGAGCCTCTTATTCTCTGCAGGGCCTTGGCCCAGGCTGCATGCAGAAGGATAACCTCAGCCCATGTTAGGCATGGCTCTGTCTTCATCTTTTATTCCTCAGGCCAACAAGTATCACTGAAATCACTGAAAATCAGCATAAGAAATATCCCTGGAATGAGGGAGAAATGGTTGTTTGTTGAACTCTAGCTTTTCTCAGTCAAAGGAAAGCTATACCCTGTTACACTATCTTAATTATATTTAATATTTCTAGCAGTATGGACTGGCACGTCTAACATCACAGCTAATATAGCAGTCTACACAGGCTTTTCTTTTTCTTTTTAAGGTATAGGGCAGCAAGACAACTCACGTTCCAGGGCCTGTTTGATAGCATGCCACAACTTGAGTTAAGCAGGTGGCAGGGTGAAATATAAAAGGCTTGCTAAACAAAGAATTTTTATTTCCTGTTTTGTGCCTGCAGGGGAGGAATTATGAAAGCAAAGCAGAAACCTGACAGCCAAAGAGCATCCAGAATTTTTAAATGAATGGTTTTATTGTTCTTTTATAAAGTTATGCAGATTAATTGCAATTTACAAATAAAAGAGGTTTTTTGCAATGATGGACTGTTAAAAAATTAACAAATGACAAAATGGTTCATTATACCTTAAGAAACTGGTTTCTAAAGGTGCCTGAATAAACTGTTTTTGTCTTCTCGACTCTAGTCAGGGCACTCTGAAAGTGGCAAAGCTCAGTTAGAGGGCACGCTTTTTCATCGAAGGCAGTGTGAAACAATACACAAATGGTGGCAGCTTCATTTTCCTGTTTTGGCTTGGAACGCTGGAAGCTGCCTTAGCAGTGTGCATGGCTTTGGGTGACCCCCCACCAAAGGCTCTGGTCGCCTGACCCCAAGGCTTTACTTCGTCTCCTTTAGTAATAGCCAAGTGCACAAACCACCAGCTGCACCACAGCCTCCTCTTTTGAAACCGCATCACTTAAGCAATAAGCACCCCTTGCATTTCTGAAATTAATAAAGTTAGTTTGAACCTCAAATGTCACTTATTTGCTTTCCTGTTTTCATAGGTGATTTCACTAAGCAGAAGTACTTGCTAATCCCACATTGACATAGATAGAAGGTCAAAGTTGGTCAGTGAGCCAAGAAATACCATATCAGGGTTTCTTTCCTCTCCAATTGAAAGAGGTATAAATTGTGGAATTAGTGTATTGATTGAAGGCTACAACTTCAAGCAATCAGTTTTTCTGGCTTGACAAGATTATTTTATCCTACTTTTCTTTTATTATTATGTGTTGTATTTGAGTCATCCTTCAGGCAGATGAAGTGACAGCTTGATTTAACTCAATAAAATCCACCAGTTAGGAAACCTACTGAGCCGAACAAAAGATGAAAACGACTGCAAGGGGAAGGTGCACAGTTAGTGTAAGCAAGCATAGCATGCTGAAAAAAGACAATATTAACTGAAATTATGCCCTAATCAATGCATTTCTATGGAAACTTGGGAGAAATTTGTAAGACCTTCGTGCTGGGCCAGTGAACAGATAATGCTGCCTTTCTTATGAAAAAGTAAAAATAAAATTTCTGCAACTGAGAATGAAAACAATACTTTCGTTGTAGCTGTGCTTTTGTGTCATTGCAAAGAGCTGGGTAATGTTGCTTTTCTGGCAAATTTAAAAGGAAATGCTTAACCAGGGGGTTACGGTTGTGTGGTAATTAAAATAATATTGAGTCTTTGGAGAGTAGGTCTTTGGTACATATCAACAAGCACAAGGCTGTGCTACTGTTGCAGACACAGGACTACAAGCTGAGCTTGTCAGCCAATGAGGGGATGGTGGAGGAGAGCCAGTGCTCTGCCCCAGCGGCTCCATCCAAGAGGCATAGGTTTTCTGTCAGTCTCCTCCGGACCGCCCCATGCTCACCTCTGCTGCAGCAGTGAGTCCTGGCATGGCTGGTCCTGATGAAAGTGCTAAAGCAATCTGCAATAACCACAGGGGATCAGGAGCATACTCAATACATTGCAAAGCAATGTTCTGACGCTAGCCATAGCCTCCCATCAAGGAACTGTCATTGACTGACCAGGGAGGCCAGAGGTACCTACTAAAGTGTGTCTTTTTTGGGTGCATACAACACTTCTTGATCTTGGTCCTGTCTGAGTTGATCTGTGGAGTAAATAGCATAAAAAAAGGATTATATATGGTAATGATCTCTTCCTTTTGCTGTTTGCCAGATGTCCTGGTACTCATTCAACCCAATTCTGAAAATGTGCTTAAACTGAGGCCCAAATAAATTACTCCTTTTCACTTTATCCACATGGGAGATAGGGAAGGTACTGTACAATAGAGAGTGTAATACATTACAGGAAAGTGGAAACCTGCTGAATGAGTATCTGAAGTGAGCCATGTTGGCTCTTGGTGCGAAGATGATGGTGGCCAAGTTGTAGCAGACATTATCTGCAAAATATGGTACAGACATTGCCTTTGGATTTCAGTGATGCAGCCTTATCCATTCATACTGATTTCTCAGTAGATGTAAATGGAAAAATTCTTAAAGTGATGTGTAAAAAATAATGTTAGTGTGTTATTTAGGAAGACAAAATAGGAAAGGGTAACTTGAGGTATATTATCTTTGTAGTTGTTTAGCCCTACTTCTAATCACGCTACTTTTCCCATGTTCCATCAGAAGCCCCCAGGTCTTCTCTGACTGATATTTTGCCAGTTGTCCTGGTCACCCAGAGTTTTTCTCCTACCTCAGTGGAGACCTGCCAGTGATCTTTCTCTGAGAGAAAGGCTTGTGGGAACACACAGAGCAAAGTCCGCGCCCTGCCTTGCACCTAGGTTGGCAGTTGCAGGTGATGTCTTTGCCATGCTGCCTTGCTAGTGTTGTTAAAAAGGAAAGTGGCAACTGAAGCAGAGCAGGACAAGTTCAGGGGTGGGGGAGTTCTTCAGTCTGCCCTTCCCCTCCTGAAGGCCTCAAGTACCATATTTTGATCATTATTCTTTACTGTGAGGGTGGTGAGGCACTGGAACAGATCGCCCAAAGAAGTGGGAAATGCTCCATCTCTGGCAGCGTTCAAGGCCACATTGGACAGAGCCTTGGGTGACATGGTCTAGTTTGAGGTGCCCTACCCATGGCAAGGGGCTTTGAAATAGATAATCTTAAGGTCTTTTCCAACCCAAACCATTTTATGGTTTTATGATTCTATGATTATTTTATTTGGGTGATGAGCTCAAGGCCAAAATCACCAATGCTAATTCATAAATAATCTCTTGCTAAGTTACTTTTTAGAACCATTTGATTTCCTGGTAAATTTGTTGTTTGGTTTGGGTTTTTTTTCCACTTAGAAGAGTATTTTTATACGTGCAGTCTGCGATGTTCACGTGTGCTAGAATTGCTTTTAAAATTTCTTCTCACAGTATATAAACACATACAGAATCTTCTGCTTTAAACAGTATTCCCATGACTAAGGACAATTATTGCAGACCAATTGTATAACACTAGCATGGTTTGTCTGGCCCTGTTGCAAATGATGTCTGGATTCACAGTTTCCCTGCCTGTTCCATTTCAGTTCCTAACATTAAGTGATGTAAAAGCTGGGAAAGGACAGCTTCCATTTAGGGTTTCATGTGAAAGAGTAGACTGCTGCATGATTGTTTTAAAAAACATGGTTTGTAACTTTCAGGGGAGTTAAGACCATGCATTAACATTCATTAACTTCTGCGTAATTTCTTCCACCCAATATTTCTTTACCATTTAAAATTGTTTTCATCTTTCTGAGGAAGAACATATATTGTCATGATCTCCTTAAACTGCAGTTTGGTAAATGACTTGTTTAAATTTAAGGAAAAGAGGTTGTTGATAAGTATAGTTTTCTAATACTCTTCCTCAGCTGTCATTTACTTTGACTAAATTTATTTAAACCACCTTAACCTTTCAGAGAAAGGCCAGGAGATGTTTAAAAGAATAATATGTGTCTGACATTTTGGTTTACCAAAAGGACACCATCATAATTCTGTAGTGCCTCTGTTAAAAATAAGCTAAGAAAAGAAAACTAAAATCTCTTTTTCTTTCTGCTTAATTTTGAAAGAATGGAAGGAAATTTGATTGATAGTTGCATTAGAAAGTGACCTGCAAAGGTAATCACCAAATGCATTGATTTGTCACTGTGCCAGCATGTGCTAAGTATCTTCCACATCTTTCCCTCTCTGATAGTCACCTTAGTGTTTTACTATTAAAACATGGGGTTTTTTGGTGCTCTTTCTGGTACTGACCATTAACTTTTCCCATGGCTCCCACTTCAGTGTGTCACAGCCAGGCACTACTGTGTGCTCTTCACATCATTATGTGAAGGAGGAGGTATGGGCTGAGCATAGGTCAGAGCAGGGAATCACAGCATTTATAGAATGGTTCAGGTTGGAGGGGACCTTAAAGATCATGTAGTTCCAACCCCTCCGCTACAAACAGGGTGATTTTAAAAATACTTGGTGGGTTTTAAATATTATTTCATTGTAAACACTCTTTGCTTTCTATTTTTGTGTGCACTATGATGGTTTTGTGTCGCCTAGAATTGTGTAAATCAATATGGAGAGCCTACGTGACTGCCCCTGGTTTGCGGAAGTGTGTAACTGGGTGACACTGTTGAAGTTTACGAACCACTTTGTGCTGCAGGAAAGCCATGTGGCAACCAGTTCTTCTTCTTTTAGAATGGAAATATCTTCCACCTTTGCACTTCTACCTTGGGAAATACAAACCTGGGTCAGGTTCCCTGGCTGATTTTAACATACTCTGTCTTGCTTTCAGAGACACTTTGTAGTCATTTCTATTTAAACATTTCCAGGTCTCAGGAGCTTATTGTCAAAAAAATTTTACAAATTAAATAAGTAATTTTCTAATTATTAGTAATTTAAAAAATAAAAAAAATAATAATATTAGTAACTTTAGAGTTATAGAGCTTCTTTTACTTATGTTGTTCTTCTCACACTGTGAATTACAGCTGTGTATAATGGGCAACCCAGGTACAAAAAATTTTACTCATAGTTTTGTTCTCCTGTGAATTCAGGTGTAAAGTTACTAAGTAAATTCAACTAAATCCCCTGCTTTTACTGTTTTTCAGCAAATCTGGAAAACATCTGAATTTTAGCACTCAAAGAAGTGGTAATACATGGAACAAGACATTTCCATGTGTATGACTTTATTTTTTTTTGTTTTGTTGTTATCCATAGGCCTTATAAGAACTACACAGGAAGTGTGGTGGCTGTGGAGGTCTGTTGCAGGAGAAGGTCATGAAGGAGAGAAGAGTTTAATATGCAGTGCCAGCCAGTTTCCTCAGTTTGTGCTGGGTGTGCAGTTGTGATGGGTTAGAAAAGAGGCCTTAACGTAACTTTAGCATTTATTATTGTGGGAAACCACTGGGTTTATGTCCTCTTGATGACATCACTGTCAGCACAGACAGCCATGTCTGATAAACACAGTAGAACCTGGAGCATGCTGTAGTGTGACTTTATGAAGGGTTTTCAAACCCTGGTCAGTTAGAATGAGGTATTTTTGATAACAGGACAGTCCCATGTTCTTTTTGTCATCCTCTATGCACAGTGGCAAAAGCAATCTCACTTCTAATGACACATCATTCCTGCAGAACTGACTGCATCAGATGCTTGTGTGCAGAAAATCTGGCTGTGCTTGGAGCTTTTTTTGTTAAGTCAGGTGGGGTGGGAATAAGCAGGGTGAACAGGAATCAGGAATTGTTTCCAGCTTTGGAGCCCATGACTATATATAATTGATAAAGGATCGAAAGTATTGTTTGTTTTCATTTTTATGAAGTGATTAGGTGGTAGTAGATAGTAACTTGCAAATAATCAGGAAAATAGTGCCTTTTCTTTGAATTGCTATTTTGCTGTTGTCTTCTTGGTACAACAAATGTTTTAAGCCCTGTTACTCTAAGGGCTTATTTACATGTAGTATTTTGATTGTATTGTATTTCTTAGTGAGAGATTTTATTTTTATTTCTTTGTAGCATTCAAAAGGCTCAGTGATGTCAAAGGCATCACCATCTACACCACCATTCACATTACTAGTATTATTTAATTTCAACAATAAAACAAGGATAATGGATTCCTTTAGATGGTGAATACTTCATGACATCCAAGTTTTCCCCTCTCTCTCTGGAAGGAACAATAATTCGGCTCAGCTGCAGATCCCTTGCTAGCAGGTATTATTTAATGGACATATTGTTCTTCATTGAACATTCATCAGGTGCTCTAACCTTTCCAATAGTAAGATGCAAAAGATAAAAAAATTCATAACTGCATGACAAAATAATGAGTTATAACAGCATGAATATATGCCTTCATTTTGTTTGCTGTTATATACTGATACATTCATTTGCCACTGAGGAGGTCCAGGACTGGAATGCTTGCCCTGTTAGGACTTTCTTGGGTAGGTGGCTTGATTAGCCTGGAGAAGACAGACCTTTGGGGTGTCTTATCAGCAGTCCTGCCCGTGTTCACAGTGAAGTTATTGAGAGGATGGAGCCAGGCTTTTCACAGTGATGCATGATGGAGAGTGAGAGGCAGCAGGCATAAACTGAAATGGACCACTTGGTGGATAAAGAACTGGCTGGATGGCCACACACAAAGAGTTGTGGTCAATGGCTCAATGTCCAGCTGGAGACCAGTTACGAGTGGTGTCCCTCAGGGATTGCTGTTGGGACCGGTCTTGTTCAACATCTTTGTCGCTGACATGGACAGTGGGATTGAGTGCCCTCAGCAACTTTGATGATGACACCAAACTGTGTGGTTTGGTTGATACGCTGGAGGGAAGGAATGCCATCCAGAGGAACCTTGATACACTTGTGAGGTGGGCTGATGCCAACCTTATAAAGTTTAATCATGCCAAGTGCAGGGTCCTACACCTGGGTCGGAGCAATCCCAGGCACTGCTACAGGTTGGGCAGAGAAGAGATTCAGAGCAGCCCTGCGGAAAAGGCCTTGGGGGTGCTGGTTGATGAGAAAATGAACATGAGCCGGCTTCAGTGTGGGCTTGCAGCCCAGAAAGCCGACCGTATCCTGGGCTGCATCAAAAGGAGTGTAACCAGCAAGTCAAAGGAGGTGATCCTGCCCCTCTATTCTGCTTTGTGAGACCTCACCTGAAGTATTGTGTGAAGTTCTGGTGTCCAAATCCAGAGGAGGGCCACGAGGATGATCAGCACCTTCCATATGAAGACAGGCTGAGAAAGTTGGGGCTGTTCGGCCTGAAGAAGGCTGCATGGAGACCTCCTAGCAGCATTCCAGTATCTGAAGGGGGCCTATGGGGATGCTGGGGAGGGACTCTTCATTAGGGACTGTAGTGACAGGACAAGGGGTAACGGGTTAAACCTTAAACAGGGGAAGTTTAGATTAGACATAAGGAAGAAGTTCTTTACTGTAAGGGTGGTGAGGCACTGGAATGGGTTGCTCAAGGAAGCTGTTAATGATCCATTCCTGGTGGTGTTCAAGGCTAGGTTGGACAGAACCTTGGGTGACATGGTTTAGTGTGAGGTGTCCCTGTCCATGGCAGGGGGGGCTGGAACTAGATGATCTTAAGGTCCTTTCCAACCCTAACTATTCTATGATTCTAAATAAGAGGGATTCAGACTGGATATGGAGAAAATTCACTGCAATTTGAATTCAGCGAAGGAGTAGAACATGTTGCCCAAAGAAGTCTCCATCTTCCGAAATTATTAAGCCTAGGCTCGCTGAAGCCCTTTTTTGATCCTGCTGCTGACCTGGCTTTCAGCAGGAGTTGGAACAGGTGACCTTCTGAGGTCCCTTCCAACCTGGATTATTCTAGGATGCTCATTTATTATTTAGAGTGAATAAATTACTACTTTGGTAGTATTTGAAACTGGGTAGATAAATGAATATTTTTTTGACTGTTGAATTTGGAAAGAAGTTTGGATGCATCAGGTGTGTCTATGCTTTACAGCTGTGTTTGCATAATGCAGACATATTTAAGCTACCTGGGCCCTGGGGTATAAAGTAGCAATGGTGCTGATAATTTCTGAATAAACATATCAGTTCCGGGTGTACCTAGCTTCAGTAAGTTAGGAATAAGATTTTCCATTTTTTTCTACGAAAAAAATATCTGCACAGTTTGTTTTAATCTCATCTTTCTTGAGGTTTGCAAATTGGGATGGACTCTCCAAGTTCAGCTTGACTGTGGTTTTGGTTGCCCCTCATCACTTGTGGGTGTGAAAGATGCTGGTCTAAGGTTTTGGATTTATTTAGAGAGATAATTTACATGGTAATGTGCCATGCCCTTATCCATGCACTTGTTTTGTGTGATGTGGCCCGAGTGCATAAATAACGTTATCTTGAGTGTGCTCCAATCCTGCATTTATAGAATTTGAAGTGTCTGTTTTCAAGTGATTAAAATCCTCTTTTTAACTCTGACCCTTCCTCACCAAGACAAAACGCAAACACAAAACTTTTCAAATACTCACCACTGCAATTAGATTTCTTACCCATGGTGATCCTCTCTCGTTCTTTTTACAAAGCCAAGGTCCCTCTCTTCAGCCATGAAGAGTTGTTTGGGCTGCTCTGGGTAGGAACAGATGCCAGAGCCCAACTGGTCATGCACTGTCTTAGTGCTGATGACACACTGTCACGTGGGGCTTTGACACTTGCCTGATGCTGGCTGTGCTGGTGTGGGTGCATAGACAATGGTACTGGTGGTAGTCCTAAGTACAGAAAGCCAAATTTTGCTGGTAAAAGCCTTTTATGCTATTTCCCCATAGTTATTCGAATTTGATCAAGAGAGATATGATCTTTGATTCTTGTAGAGAAATCTGGGGTAGTGCCTCTGTCTCTTTCCCTTCAGATAACACCATTAGCTCCTCTGCTCTGGTAGTGTGATGAAGGCCTACAACACCCTATGAAGTGAGCATAGAAATAGCTTCAAATACAGTTGATAATTTCTGCAAAAAATGTTTTCTTCTATTAAATAAGCAGATTTAAAAGATCTTTAAAATGTATTAAGGTATGGATACAAAATTACAGAAATCAAATTCTTCAAATTTGAGACCATGACTAGAGTTACACCCTTGCCCTTTTGCCCTTCCCAAAAGTCATGTGAATTAAGGACAATGTCAGCTGTGACTCTGCATTTCTCTGCTTTTGTCAGTTTGTGTCACAACCTTAGCATTATTTAAATGAACTTTTCTTTTTTTTTTTTTTTTGTACTTAATATCCATATTCAGGTATTCAAGCCATAATTTCTGTTAGTAAAAGTGACATTTTGTAAAGTTCATTATTTTTTTTACAGAGAAAATCTCAGGCCCTTAAAAAAATAGACATTAAATAACAGAACGGCGGTGTCTCCAGGCTAGTTGCCATCCCTACAATTTGTCATTTTTATACTTGAATACCCGTGAAAGAGAAGTTTGATAATACCTAGGTTATTTAGCCTGACCTGTCTTCCTGACCGCCTGGGAACTGCATCCGTCAGCGTGAGCTGCATCCCCGCACCTTAGCAGGGTCCTTGGCGTTCCATGGGCACCCTTGACTAGGTCTCTTTTGGCACTTTTGCATGGCATTTTTCATGATGCACCATGAGAACCTCTGTCAGGTTTGTCTCCAGTGTTGGTGTTAGGATCGTACAGCACAGTATGAGTGCGGTGAGCTATCTCATCAGCAGAGCTGCCCATCTCATTTGTAGGTGACATGCACAAGCCAGCGCATGTGAGTAAGCACCTTGGTACTCCAGCTATTGTAAAATGGTGTCCATTAATAATTTTTATTGCAGAGAGGAAAAGGGAAGAATCAAATAATTTGACATACAAAGGAGAAGTGAACTAGAGGGACATGCCATCTACAGGCTCTTCCAGCAGCCACCCCGTGCATCAGTTTGGCCATTTGCACATCATTGTTAGCATTCCCTTTTGTTCATCTTGTAGCAATGTAATATAAAAACTCAAAAGGAAATAGTTGTGCTTCCATGTACTTTTAAGTGACATTGCTTTTCTTTGGAAGAAGATTGTGTTCACAAAGGAAAGTCCACCTTTTGTACATTTATCTCAGCATTAGTTTGAAAGAAGGGACAGAAAAGGCAAGTTTTCCCTATTCATGTAATATTTTTAGAACAAATTGTAATGTAGAATTTATTCCTGTTGGGAAGACTGTAAATGTACCCACAGCCTATTTCAGTTTGTTAGCGACCTTTGCTCTGTGCCTCCCCTTCTGTGGTGGTCGATAGCTGCAAATGCTGAGCAAGACCAGCACATGCAGATGCTGCTTTTTTAACCATTACTTATTTTTCTGCAGCCAGCAGTGTGCTAAGCACCAGAGCAGCTCTCCCAAGCCATTTAGGTGATGCAACTTTGTCAAGCACATAATACCAATATCTGAATATCTGACTCAGTTCGAGCTGTGTTATGTTTCCCTTCTCAGGAAGCAGCTATCAGGTCAGTACCACCTTCCACCATCCCCTTAGCAAAGCCATTTCAGTCCTGAGAACTGCATGCACATCAGTTTTGGGTGCAATACAGTGGAGGGCAGGAGCTCAGAGCAGGATGCTGCTGTGTGAGGGAGCTGTTCATGATGCTGTGAGGCAGGCAACGAAGGCTTCAGGAAATCCTTTGTTTTCCAGGAAGAAATTAAATACTGATATTTCATATATAAATACTGTTTTCATCAGTATGTAAATACTGATGTAAATACTGATATTCTGAAGTCTTTTCCCTTGCAGGAAGACAACCAGAAGGAAAATAAATTCTGCAATAATTTTCTTAGGGTCCAGTTACACAGATCCCTTATGATTTAAAAATAGTAATCTGTTGTGTGTAGCGACTGATATTAACAAAAACAAAAAAAAAAAAAACCAAACAAAAAAAAAAAAAGCAAACAAACCAAGAACATTCCTGATAGAGTATATTTAGCCTACAAGTAAGTGGAGCAAACTTTGTTGATGTCACCAGAGCTGATCATATAGCTCAAAACTGAGTTTAGGTGGAAATGCTATGTTAATACTGAATTGCCGGTCTCCTGTCATTCTGTGTTTTAAATATTTTTAGAATTAGGTCTTCTTTTAAAAATAGTTTATAAATTTTAAGAATTAAAAGCTTCTTTGTCTGTGAGCTATTCCTGGCTCTTCAATAGGTATTTAAAATCACATGATAATGTATTTAGGGTTAGTGAATGATATAGTTCTAAAAGGTGCTAGTTGTCTGAAGAAATATGTATTTCTGTCAAACACAACAAACACGCATGTTATGTTTTCCCTCTTTTCTTCATTACTACATTAGGAACCCAATTTGTTTTTTTCTTATCTTGAAGAAATAATTTAAGCTACTGTGTCCATTGGTTTTAATGGCCACAACAACTCCCAGGTACTATTGTAATTTTTTCTAATATAACTATTTTTGTGCAAGAACATCATATTCATGTATTGCTTGGCCTTCAAAAATGTTGGCAAAAATCAAGTAAATACTTGCTTAAAGCTATATTTTTAGGAATAATAGCTTCAGTTCATTCTTTTTGT